GATCAGAGCCTCTGGGCCCATAATCGTTTATGGGGCCAGGCTCAAGAGAAGAGCAGATGGGAAGAATTGTCATAGGATACCATGGCTGGAAAAATGGTGAGGAATGAGTATTCAATTTTGCTAGATCCAGAATGAGTGGAGACAGGGGAATCATGGCCGGCCACAACCTGGGTTCTCCACAAGACTGCCCGAAGAGTGAATGGGCAGCTTCAGCGTCAGCTGAGGACAGGTCAGTGCCTACCTGAGAGGAGGGGCGGGCACCTGTGAGTGGGTAGGGAGGCTCCAGTGCTGCTTCTCTAATCAGACAGGAGTCTGGGGCTTGCTGTGAAGGTAGAGGATTGACAGCTACAATCAGCTGACCTTCCGAAAAGTAGATTACCCTCAGTAACGTGACTGGGCGTCCTCCAGTCAGTTGGGAGGCCTTACATACAAGCAAGAACTGAGGTTTCCTGGAGAAGAAATTCTGCCTGAAAACTGCAACACTGATTCCTGCCTGAGTTTCCAGCTTGCCAGCCTGCTAGAAATTCCAGACTGGCCATCCCCGCCATTGCATGAACCAGTACACGTAGGACACACACCCGTGTGGGTTTAGCGTGTTCCCAGGGGATTTGTGTGCTTATTAATATCGGAGGAGCTCTGTTCTGAGTCATAGTGGTTCTGTTCGCCAGTTGCCTTGGATTATTCTTTGAGATGCTGCACTTGGTTATATCAGTTTTAATAATCCTTGCTATGAAATTTATAGCACAAAGCAAGACATCCACAGGTGTTTGTAGAATAAATGAATTTCTAAGTGCCCTCAAAACATGTCATAAAATGACAGTAGATAGATGCAGGAATTCAAAGCTACCAAAGTGCATTTCTGCCCAAATGTTTGGGATTATTTCTGGAACTTTGAGACTTTACCTAATAGTTCAGCTAATGCTAGACACCATTCCAAAAGGTATACAGTCACAGTTTGTATGCAAAATCCTTAATATTTTTACGGAATAATCTAATCCTTATTAGGCTGCTCATCTTTGACCTTCAAAGACAACAGTACTGTTCTAGAAATAGACACAGCTAGGCATTTACTTTGTTCATATTCTCAAGACCTGGCAGCAGGTCTCTAGGCAGCAAGTTTGGGGAAAACATGCTCTAAAATGAGGAAGGTAACATGATCAAGACTGAAGGTCTTGCCATTACTCATGGGTCTGCTTGAAAAGAAGTGACATGTGATAGTCCATGTGACCGTCACATGCTGAAGCAGGCCGCCTTCGCTCACTTCCTTTGCTGGGTGGCTTTCTCGGTGAGAGATCGTCTCATTCTGGAGGACGCTGCGTGCTGGCTCAGTGTTTCTGGCTCTTTGCAACCCCGTGGACTGTAGCCCGCCAGGCTCCTCTGTGCATGGGGCTCTGCAAGCTAGAGGACTGGAGTGGGCTGCCATTCTTTTCCCGTGCACTGGAATGCACAGAGGCAGTCGTGTGTGGAGTGAATGACCATCTCCCCCTGCCCCGGCTCCTTCCCCCCACCGCTCTTGCCTCCCATTCTAATTAGCCTCGAACTATCCAGCATGTTCTCAGACACCTGTGAGGACTCTGGAGGGGGGCTAGGTTTCTTCACCTGGGACTATGGCCCTTCAGGGAGTAGTGAAGTGATGAACCAAAGTTTGCATGCATTTCTCTCTACCCCCTCGCTCCAGAGTGAGAAGAGAGCAGAAATCTTTTATCAAGATTAGGTGACCCCCAACAAAGGTGTGAAGAGAGCTGCGTCCCTGCACTTAGCTCTCTGTCCCATCAGTGCTCCTGTTCCCAAAGGACAATGCTGGCTTTAAGCAGAGGTTGGAAGTTAATTGCTGGCGGAATGGTCCAGGTCAGGAGCCTCCTGATCAGCTTGTAGGGAGTGGCTGGTGGGGGTGGGGGCAAGGCAAAGACTATGCCCTGTGTCAAGGCTTTCAAACTGGAAAAGAAAAAAAGCCGCCAAGCTAGAAAGTCCATTCACCTTAGCAGTGGTAGCTTTTACTGTAACAAAAGGGAAAATGGGGCCTCCTTGCGGTACTTAGGAGGCTCTGTGGTAACTGAACACCTTGACCAACAGGTGAGGATCGCACGAGCTGCCTCCCGCGGGCCTGTGCCTCCAAGCGGGGGTCAAGTTGTCCTTTTGCCTCTTCCCCAGAATTCACCGGTGGAATTCTCCTGCTTGGTCTCCCCACTGGGCAGCCAGGCTGGGCATCTCCCCGAGGCCCGGCCCCCTAGCCCTGCAGCCTGCTGGTCCTTCTGTCTTCTTCTTTTTCTCTCTTTCTTTTTTTTGGATGACACTTTTTTGTCTCTTCCCTGTGGACTGTTTTGCAGGCCTCAGATCTGAAGCACTTCTGCTTGTCCACACATCTGTGCCTGCTGCTGCAGCTTCCACCACCAGTCACGTGGGATTGTCTCGCTCTCCCATCACTCCTGACTGTCACGTTTGTCACATTTCTTAGCTTTTTGCTAGAAAAAGGTTTGCCAGCCCAGGGAAGGACTCCTTTGCGTCGGCAGTGTGTCTGAGTGCTGATCACGTGGCTTTGGGTGCGTGTTTTCCTCCTCTGTCGCATGCATTATATGCGTGTGTGCTGGGGACAGGGAGGGCATGTTTGTGCTGCTTTGCTTTGTGCGCGTTATGTCATTTCCAGCTAATTCCAGCGCAGTGCCTAAGCCTCGGTTGCATGTGAGAATTGTCTGAGCAGCTTCTAAAAGTCCTGGTGCCCAGGCCACCCTCCAGAATAATTAAATCAGCATGTCTGCGGGGTGGAGTGTTCCATGAATTTGTTAAGCACCCTAAATGATGGATTTATTTCAGCATTGGCCCCAAAGTTGATAACCACTAATAGAGGCTAAAATCCTAAAAGCTGGAAGGCTGAATTCCAAGTCCTAGAGGCTTGATTTTATATTTAAAAGTAACTAAGCTTTCTAATCAGCAAATAGATGTTTGTCTGAAGCTACACTATTAAAAAACAAAAATCAAATAAACAGAACATGGCCTGGCTTTTTTTTTTTTCCTTGCCTATGTCTTTTAGGGAAGCCCAAAGGGTTAAATTAGCTGTTTCACAAATGGATCCAAATCTAACCAGTGTGTGTGTGTATATATATATATATATATATATATTTTTTTTTTTTTTTCCCCTGTTGTCTTAGTCCCAAATGGAACGCAAGATTCAGAGAACATTGCAGCCTGTATTTTTAGCTAAGTTTAGTTAGAGCTCTTGGTCCGGGAGACATTGAGAATTTCAAAATAGTTTGTTACCTCAAAATACACTTCCTGAAATGGACTTGAGGCCTGAGAGGGATGAATGGGCTTTTTTTTCGCTTCTATATTTATTGTACCACAAGAAAGCAAATCTTAAATTTATGTAAGTTTTTATTTTTAGAGACCCAGGAAACAGGTGCTTTGCCCCAGCGACAGAAGGCTGCGTGGCAAAATGCGGAGGGCAGACTAGACTCCATGGGCAGGGCGCAACACGGGAGGGTCCCGGAGCTGTGCGTCTGGCTCAGGCCCGAGCGCCCTTCACGCAGGGCGGACCAGGAGGACTTGCCCAGGCCTGCGAGAAGCGCCATCCCACCTCCTGAGGGCCGGGCTGGGCTGGGGCCCCTGTGCCCGGGCGCCCTGTCTTTTCTCGCCTGGCACAGAGGGGCCTTTGAGTTCATGTTTGTTGAGGACAGCCCGGGCTCCATCTCCCAGCTCACGCCTTCAGTTACCAGCGCTGCCAGTGGAAGCGGGCCTCGCAGAGGAAGAAGAGAGTCAAGGGTGTCATGCCTCGTCAGAGCCTCTTAGCGTGCCGTGTGTTGCAGGGACAGTTTGCCTTCAGCGGGGCACTGGTGAACGTGAAGGAGTCTCCTGTTTGTTAGCACTCTGCCCGGGGTGAGGGGGGAGCGCCCGGTGCCTCCCTCCCTGGTGCCAGAGCCCGATGTGCACCTCTGTGTTTGCTCCTTCATGGATTAGCTAGGCAGCATCCATCAGTACCTTTTTGGATAGCATCCGTGTGACAGCCCCTCTTCTTGGCCCTGGAGAAGCAGCGTGGGAAGAAGGCAGAGAAGGGCACGTGGCACTTGCGTTTGGTGTGGATTGGAAGCCACTGGGTGGTGGAGAATGTGCAGAAGTTCAGACAAAGCCCTGCGTTGGTTCCCTTGTGGGCCGCTTTGGGACCACGCGGTGACGTTTAACGGAGACCAGGACGGCGACGAGAAGGCAGGCGAAGGCCAGAGTAAGGGCCGGACCTGAGGCAGGTGGGAGCCTGGCTTCTCCTGGGAGAGGCCCTGGCGTCCCCGAGGGGCGTGCGTGAAGAGTGAGCGGGCAGCCGGTGGTGCCGGGAGGGCTGAGGCGGAGAGGGGGCAGGCGGCAGAGCCCTGGCACTCACGTGTGTGTCTGTCGAGGACACACACTTTATAGGGAGAAGTCAGAGCCAGGCTTTTGCCAAGAAGACCCTGATGCTCTGGTGAGTGTAGGTCAGGAAAGCAGCGGCCAAGTCTGCCCTCTTCCACAGGCGCTGCTCTGAGCCAGCTGACCCCCTTTCCAGACGTGGCAGCTGTGCTCCGCGTGACCCCGATCTGCCCATTGGGAGACGGCTCTCGTCGGGCGCCCGCATCCTCTGTGCCTGCCTCTATTTTGAATTGCCCTGCCCTTGTCTGTTTTCATGTCCACCCACCAACTAAACTATAATTTCCTTTAAGAGTACATTCAACAACACCCAGTACCACGTGGTAGGCCGGCTTGACGTCTGTCTCTGGATTGAGCGCGGAGGTTTTGGTGAGAGGAGTGCCTTATGATGGTCACTGACAAAGGCAAGAAGTTGCCAGGCCTCCCCGACCCCAGCCATCACCACCGCTCACTGGCTTTCACTCCAGCCTTCTCCTCTGGTGAGGAGCTGCTGGGCAGCTCTCTCCACGTTCATCCTTAACGACCGCAGGCTCATCCGAAATCACATCGTGTCAGGACTCCGTTGGCAGCTGGTTTTGTTGGCTCACCTCATGGCGTCCCTCTTCTCTTTGCAGTTAACAGTGACATGGTGGTCACTGACGGCAACGGCGCTGTCAAGCTGGCGCAGCTGTGTAAGTTCTGCGACGTGAGGTCGTCCACCTGTGACAACCAGAAGTCCTGCTGGAGCAACTGCAGCATCACGGCCATCTGCGAGAAGCCGGAGGAGGTCTGCGTGGCCGTCTGGTGAGGGTGCCTCTTCATGCTCCTCCTTCCTCCTCTTCAAGCAGTGCGCACTCGCGGGACCTAGGGTCACGTGTCTTGTCCCGTCTCCCCCCCTTCAGACCCTCTCTCTCAGTTACATGGTGCAGTTTCTTGAGACAACTCTGCACTTTGAGATACACACACACCCCTTCTTTGAGTCGAGGAGAGGGACTTGTCGCTTGCCAGCCACTTGACCAACACCCCTGGGGACCGCGCAGTGATGTCCAGAGCTCCATGTGGAGGCAGACTCGGTCCTGTTTCACGGAGACGGATGGTGGCTGCTGCAAGAGGGACGCACTCGACTCCGCATCTTTCTCTGGGAGCAGATTCTCTCCTCCCTCCCTTTCCCTTTCTTTCTCTTTCTTCTTCCCTCCCTCATCCTCTCATTTTTGCTACGTACACACATAAACACACACATAGTGGGAATCATTTGATTACCACGTAGTTATTAACACGTATTATGAATTGGGGGTATGAGCCAGAGATTAAAAAAAAGTGATAATTAAGGAAGTCCTCATTTTATTAAAAAAAAAAGTGTACATTTGTTGATGAAATGTAACATTTTAAAGACTTATATGGATGGTTTCAATGTATCAGCTATTTTTTTTAAAGTAAGCTCTGTGTCTCCTGGCTGTCTGCAAATGAGAATATCCGCCCCGTTATCCTGCTCCTTTGGACAGGAGTCTCTGGAGACTTCCTCCAGACCATGTGCCCTCAGCCTGGACAATGGATCTGAGAGCCTGGCACATTTCCCTGCACACCAGGGCACGAATCCGGCTCTTGAGAGCTGAAGGAATGTTCGCAGCCAAGACCTGTCACGGGGGCTCGCCATTACCTACCAGCTGCACTGTGTCCCGCCCTGAGCCCTGCTTTTGCCAAAGGGTTTGACAGAGGTGGTGTTGGAGGAGAGGGGCACGTGTGTGGGAGGGGATGGACAGACAGATTGTGCTCAGGATAGGTTGCGGTGCTCTCTCAGTCGTGGTTTCCTGCCGGCGGGCAGGCACCCTTCTCTGGAAGCATCAGACCAAGGTCAAGAGGGGGAGAGTGGCCGCCGGTCTGGTTCAGGGCAGGAGGCTTCAGACCCCAGGCCGGGTGACCCCAGGCTCCTCCTCCGTGTCTGTTCTCTGCTCACCTTTGCTTACATAGCCACTGGGGGTGAGAACTTAACTTCTGCACCAAAAGCAGACTTTTTCATTAAGGGGGGTTTCCCTACCCCTAGTCCAAGTGCAGGGGGTAGAATGTGAACCACGCACTCCTGGCATTGATGCTTTGCCATCTCAGAAGGTAGGAGCATGTGGGGGCCCGCTCTGTCCCCTCCGTGTTTCAGATGTAGAGTAAACACAGTGAATATTGTTCCTCCCTGTCTGCAGAAAGGCACACGCAGAGGTGAGGAGAGGGGATGCTAGTGTGGGTGCTCCCCTGTGCCCCCACCCCCACAGCACCGAGGCACTCACCCCGCGCCCTCTGGGAGGGCTGCTCCCCTCCACTTACCAAGCTGGAGGCACTCTGCATCCAGGAACCAGCTGCCTAGGACTGGCTGGTGCCGGGGCCCAAATGCTTGACCACATGGCCTCAACTCGGGATGGCTCTGGTGGGCCCTCCCAACCCCCAGCCGCCCAGAGGGCAGCTGAGACCTCATTGCAAACCCCTCGCCCACTCTGTGCAGCTTTGCTCCCTGAAGGGACATCGCCCCAAAGCACCTGGACAGAGCTGTCACAGCCTCAGGGTCTGTGTGCCGGGGCCCTCACACGCAGGCTCGAGTCTGTGTTAGAAACAGCCAAGCGGGGAGTAGAAGACTGCTGTCTGTGATCTGCTTTAGTCTTCTCATTCATTCACTTGTTGAATTAATGCCAGTTGTTCACTCTCACCATGGGAAATGCTTAAGTCCTTTTCAAGGATTGAAATATTTTGGAACCAATATTAATTTGATTACTGTGGTTCTTTTGTCATGGATATTGACAGTCTCTTCAGTTGCAGGACAAAGAAGTCTGTGTTTATTTCCCTGTATTTTTCCTTTCTGTGCTTCAGTGAATCCAGAATGTTTTGCACAGTGGGCCCTGTCTGTCCAGGCGGCACTGTTAGAGCACTGGGTGGAGGAGGCTCTTAAGGGCCTTGTGGAGCCTCAAGTCCTTTTTTTTTTTTTTGACACATATATATGTGAAGTGAAGGAAATGAAGTCTCTCAGAGTCATGTCCGACTTTTTGTGACCCCATGGACTGTAGCCTGCCAGCTTCCTCCATCCGTGGGCAAGAAAACTGGAGTGGGTTGCCATTTCCTCCACCAGGGGATCTTCCCGACCCAGGGACTGAGCCCGGGCCTCCCGCACTGCAGGCAGTTTCTTTACCATCTGAGCTAACAGGGAAGCCCACACATGTTTCTGTATATGCATGTACGTATCTCCACTCTTCTTTAGAGTCGTTCTCCACACAGGTGTTGCCGAGTGTTGAGTTCTCCGCTGTGCTACCCAGCAGGCCCTTGTTAGCGTCAGCCGTGTAGTCGTGCGTGCATGTCAGCCCCAGGCCACCCCCCCCCCCCCCCCCGGTAACACACATGTGTCTTCTACATCCGTGACTGTGCTTCTGTTTTGCCTCAGGTACTGAGATTGAGCCCTGTCCCTACGGTCCTAGAACTGGCTCAGGGCTCTGGAGAGGCTTTTCTTCATGGCTCCCAGTTTCTTCCTTGTCCCGTCCCAGGGCCTCTGGAAGCTTCGCAGAGGAGCGATACCATGCCTTTCCCTGGGAGCCTGGCGGACTCGGCGTGCCTTCATTGTGTTACCAAATCAAACACAGACCCCCCAACACAGACGAGCACACACCTGTGTGCACACCCACCTGTGTTCCCCTCGAGAGCCCTTCAGTTCTCTGCACACAGCCCGCACCCTGTGGGGGTAAGGAGGGCCTCTTGTTTCACGGCCACTGTTTTTGTCAAGACCTCCCAATAACTTGGGAGTTAAGGAGAGGATTTTTTTTAGTGTTTTTCAAAATTATTTTTTAATTTTTATGCAATTTTTAAAGGTTACACTCCATTTACGATGATTAGAAAATACTCCTATATTCCCACCCTTGAGTGTATCTTACACCCAATAGTTTGTGCCTCCCAACCCCCCACACCTCCCCACTGATTTGTTCTCTGTGAATCTGCTTGAGTTTTGTTCCATTCACTGTTCTGTTGAGTTTCTTAGATTCCACATCTAAGCGATATCATACAGTATTTGTCTTCCCGTGTCTTATTTCATTTAGCGTACTTCCCCCAAAGCCATCCGTGATGCTGCAGATGGCACACATTTCGTGGGGGAGTCTCCCGGCTCTCTGCTGAGCTGGGCTCCGAGTGTGCGGTGTGCAGGGACACTCGGTTTATGGTTGGCACGGAAGGACGCCTTGCAGTTCCTTCCCACATATCTCTGTATTTTCCCTCATGTCCCTTTCTGTCATGCAGGAAACCGCAGTTCTTCATCCAGAAGTTTCTTCTGTCTCCAACCCTGCCAGCTGCTGGCTGGGATGGCGCCCTCACTCATGGAGCCCCGGGCCCAGCAAACAAAAAGAGCAGAACCGCAGCCTCTTTGCCAGACGCACTCCCTGAGAATAATTTAACTAGATTCTATCCAACAAACTAGGGATGTGTTGGGAGCCTCACAGGGTGGTCAGGAGGGAAGGTTTAGAGTCACCCCGAGGACCTAGCCATCTCCTTTTCCCCACGCCCTCCCTCTAATGATTGAATGAGTGAATTAAGGCTTCAAGTGTACATTTTCCAAGAAGTTAATTCCCGATGTCGTGATCCTAACTGGGCTCTGAGATAAGCAAAGGGAAAAGTGGGCTGGGTGGGAAAGAGCAGGAGATGCCGGGTGAGCCGTGAGGGACAGGCCGGGAGAGACGGGCCGGGAGGGACGGGGCCGGGAGGGACGGGGCCGGGAGGGACGGGGCCGGGAGAGACGGGGCCGGGAGTAACGGGAGGCAGCGCCATTTAGAGACGACGTCCTGAGGTTGACACGGCCCAGACCGCCTCCTTCCGGTCACACTCACCCGCCTTCTCTGCACCCAGGAGGAAGAATGATGAGAACATCACGCTGGAGACGGTCTGTCACGACCCCAAGATTGCCTACCATGGATTTGTCCTGGATGATGCTGCTTCTTCAAAGTGTATTATGAAGGAAAGAAAGGGGTCTGGAGAGACTTTCTTCATGTGCTCCTGCAGCTCCGAAGAGTGCAACGACCACATTATCTTCTCCGAAGGTGAGTGTTCTCTTCCAAACAGCCTGCAGGCGCAGGTACGGCCTTCCATGGCTGGTGCTGGGAGCGGGCTCACAGGCCCCCTTACTTGCTGGAAAGAGGGGCTTAAGGGGTGACAGGGTCGGCTCCGGTCTGTATCCAGTCTGGCTCCTGGGAGCCACATTATGATTCTTCACTGAGAAATAGTTTGTGTTACCCAGAGCCGTGGTTCCCCAGGCACAAGACCTAGAAAGGCAGTAGCGGCATCACCTGAGAACTTGATAGAAATGCAGGTTCCGGGCCCCACCCTGACTGTGGAACCGGAAACTCTGGGTGCACATCCAGCAGTCTGCATTTAAACAGGCCTCCGGGTGATTCTGGCGCCACTCAAGTTTGAGAACGACTGGTCCAGCGGTGGGCGGAAGCTGTGTGATTCAGGAGTCAGCTCAAGTGGTTGTGTGCGCATGCTCACTCCTCGGATTTGTCTAAAGGGTACTTAGCCTTTGTTGCGCTTGAGGAGAACTGCGGTGCAGAGGCCATGAGGAGCTAAGGCTCACCTGCAGGACAAGGAGCACGTTAAGATGCCAGTGCACACGGGGGAAGCTCAGCATCTGTCTCTGTGAGAGGAGGGCACCCATGTTTCCTTCAGTGTAGAAGAATGTTCAGTGATTTTTAAGGACAAAGGTAGTATATGTCAAATATAGTATATTATCAAATATACAATCTAGCAGTATATAACAACTTTGGAAGTATCTTGACCTGCTCACTTACTCTCAACACAGCAGATAAGCTGTATTCATGGCCTGTTGGATGCACCCGTCTCTGCCGTTCATCCATATTAGCCTTCCTTCCCTCCCCTCTTCCCCCACTCTCTCCCTCCCTCTTTCCCACTTACCCTCCCTCCCTCCATCTGCACATCCATCTGTCTATCCACTCACCCATCTGTCCATCCATCTGGCCATTCACTTGTCCACCTGTCTATTCATCCACCCATCCGTCTGTTCATCTGTCCGTCTGTCTGTCCACCCATCTGTTATTGTGTCCATGCATTCACCCACCCATCCATCTGTCTATCCATCTATCTGTCTATCCATTCATTGCACCCACTCATCCATCTTTCAGTGCAAATAGTTAACCATACCATAAATATTACCTGGCAATATTTTTTTTTCACTCAGCCACTTTTATTCCTTTTCTAAACAAGATAATATATATAGATCTATTGTAACTTGTTAATTGTTGTCTAGAATTCATATAAGCATATCTTCTACAAGTGACTTAACTATTCCCTTGTTGATAGATTGTTTTAGATATCTCCAGTTTTCCATTTAGTGCTACAGTAAAAACATCTTCCACGTTTGTGCTAATATTTCTGCAAGACAGAGTTCTAGAAATGAAATTTCTAGATCAGAGATATGCACATTTTAAATTTGGATAACTGCTATTAAATTGTTCTTATGCCTCCAAAGATACATAAGCATATGAATTTCCATCTACTTTCTCCAACACTGGAGATTATGTCTTTTAATTTTTCCAGGCAGTAGTGAAAATAATATTCTTTTGGTATTAGGATTGTAAATCAGAATAAGGAAAAGTTTTTTAGCCCTCAATAGGTCCAATTCAATAAAAAATCCTTTTGGAACACAGGTGCTGGGTTGACATCCTATCCCTCCTACCGTGTGCGTGCCAGTTACGGGAAACAATGAGTCTCATGCTCTGCGCTGCCCGTGGGCACTGCAGACCCGCCCCTTTCTCTGTGTCCTCTAGCCAGTTTCCCTCCCTTCCTGTCCAGCTTCCCATCTGGGTGAAATTCTCAGAGTACAAAGGCAGGTATGTATACTTTGTTACCATAACACTTTTCAAAATCACACCTCTGTCCTACTTTTTCATCCTACAAGCATGCCATTTCTTTTTTTCCTTATGTAATCTAAGTTAGGAGAGATGCTGTAACTAGATTTAATCACTAAAACGTGGCAACCCTGGTATCCTGGGTTACCATGTTAACCTTCCCCAAGTACTTCACCTTTCAAAAGAAGGCCCAGGCTTAGCCAAAAGAATCAATCCCTAATAGTGGAATATCCATTCATGTTTACTATCATCTGTGAAACTTTTCTCTTCTTTTGCATACTGGCTTATCCACAGTGGGATAATTTATTTCATTCGAAGGTAACAAAAGTTGACAAATGGCTTGAAAATTGGATATATTTTATATGTATGTGTGTACTCCCGTAAGCTCTTAAGGTGTTTATGACTTCAGTTTTCAGTGTATTTCAACTCATGTGATAATCATGGACACACGTTCATGTTTTCCCTCTTATTCATTATCAGACTGTTTGTTTCCTTATGAGGTGAGATAATCAGCATAAAGGCAGTTTCTCATTGTACAATTCAAGAAATCCAGCACAGCTGATGAGTCAGATATCTGAGTGATTTCAGAGTCTTCTAAAATGCTCCAAGGAGTATGTTTAAAAATAAGTCTTTCCTCTATGGTGGGATATTTTCCTCACCTACAACATCAGGTATTAGAAAGAACACTTTGGGATCAATTTCTCTTATTGCCACTATCTATTCTTTACACTAAAGGATGAAAACTTTTAAAAAAAGTGAAGTATAATTGAGCTATAATGTGTGATTAATAATTACTGCTATATAGCAAAGTGACTGAGTTATACACCCCACCCCCCACACACACGTTTTTTTTTTTTCTATATTCTTTTGTGACAGATCACAGGAGATTGAATATAGTTCTCTGTGCTCCACAGTAGGACCCTGTTGTTTATCCATTCTGTATGTAAAAGCTCACATCTGCTAATCCCAACCTCTCTGCCGATCCTCTCCCAACCCCTTCCCCCTGACAACCACCAGAATGTTTCCTGTGTTCATGTTTCTGTCATAGGTAGGTTCATTTGTGCCATATCTTAGATTCCACATCTATGTGATATCACAGTGTTTGTCTTTCTCTTTCTGACTTAGTGTGACCATCCCTAGGTCCATCTAGGTTGCTGCAAACAGCATTATTCATTCTCTCCTATGGATGAGCAATACTCGATTGTATATGTGTACCACCTCTTTATCCACTCGTTTGTTGATGGACGTTTTGGTAACATTGCCAAACGAATCAGTCAACTCAAGAAGGATACAGTTGATCTTAAACCTGGTCATTTGGAAATGAGCTAAGTAAGCTTGACTCAGTCCTTTCGTGTGACAGAATTCCCCAATGAAATGGGGGCGTTTTTCCATAGTGATAGTGAAGTCATTTTGTGTGTGTGTGTGGTGTATATGTGTGTGGACTCCACAGACTGTGCCAGCATGGAGCTCCACGTAGAGAAGGTGAGGTGCCTTTTCAGGAACATTTCTTTGGTTTCCATGATAATCTTCATGTTACTTTTTCTGTGGAATTGTAACCATACTATTGCCTAAAGTAGGAAGACATGTAGGAATGCCTTCAGGATGCATTTCACAAGATGCTGTTCTGAACTGGATCTAAAAGGGAGCTGCTGGGTAGCCTGAGGAATCCTGGACAAGGAGCGGAGAGGCATTAAAGGAGGTCTCCTGCATCCTTTTGCTCCTCAATTGTCTATTATGTTCATCTGCAGGGGTGAGAAGGTAACTCATGGCAGGTTGAAGGAGGGGCGCCTCTGCCCTACTTCCAGCCCCCGTGGCTGGATCCCTGGCCATCCCATTCTCCTCCTGACTTGGAGCTGAACTTCTGGAAATGGCAAGGCCCCTTGGCCATGCGGGAAGGGGCATTAGCAGTAACCTCAATCCTGGACTCTGAAAAGTTTGGTTTCGAGGCCAGAGGCCCAGCCCCTGCCTTACCTGGCATGCAGCATGCCCAAAGCCCCAGTGAAGATTCCTGGAACAGTAGTAGCAGTGGTCTCTTTCCTGGCTAAGAGCCTGCTCTGGTCAATCTGCCTGTGCTAACTGCTTTCAGGTGCATTGCCTTGTTTCCTATAGTCATAACTTTTTTTTTACATCATACTCTAGCATTTTTTTTCAAATTTACGTAGGTATAGTTGACAAATAAAGTTGTAGATATTTAAAGTGTACATCATGGTGACTTGATATACATATACTTTGTGAAAGAATTTCCCCTCCCTGCTCCCCCATCTAGGCAGTTCACATATCCATCACCTCACATATTTGTCTTCTTTGTGTGTGAGATCATTTAAGTTCTCCTCTCTTAGTAAATTTCAATTGTACAATAATTATCAACTGTCATCACCATGTTTTACACCAGATCCTCAATACTCATTCATCTTAAAACTGACAGTTTGTACCCTTTTAACAACATCTTCCTATTCCTTCATCCTCCAGCCCATGGCAACCACCATCTTTAAAAAATTTTTTGCTGACTTCCTCACATTTATTTTGCTTATGTTAAATGTGTGTATTCTTGGATTCAGTTGGACCTAAATTTATTTCTAATGTGGTTAAAAAGCACTGACTATAACTCGCAACCTGCAAACATTTTTTTCTGTTTTTATGAGTTTGCTTTTTTTTTTTTTTAAGATTCCACATGTAAATTATACCACGGGGTATTTGTCTTTCTCTGTCTGGCTTATTTCATTTAGCATAATGCCCTCAAAGTCTATCTGTAATGTTACAAATGGCAGGATTTCCCTCTTTTTCGTGGCTGAATACTACTCCATTGTGTATACACACCACATCTTTATCCATGCATCCCTTAATGGACACTTAGGTTGCTTCCATGTCATGCTGATTATTAATGATGCTGCAGTGAATATGGGAGTACAGGTATCTCATTGAGATCCTGTTTTTATTTCTTTGGATAAATACCTAGGAGTGGAATTGCCAGATCAAATGAAAATTCTGTTTTTCTTTTTTTGAGGAACCTGCATACTGTTCTCCACAGTGACTGCACCAATTTACATTCCCATCAACAGTGTAGGGTGTTCCCTTTTCCTCACGTTCTTGCCAGCACTTGTCATCTCGGTCCTTTTCAGAGTCATAATTTCTTATGCTGAAATGAAGCCCATGCAGTTAGCTCATCCAAACTTTTCATTT